AACTATACAGTACGCTTGCATTGGCTGTCATTGTAATTAGTGTACAAATGTATATAATATATATTAAAATACATTATATTTAATTGTGCTTATTTGTTTTGGTAGCTCATGAATATATCACACACACACATCCGCCCGCCATCGGGCACTTGCGCTAACCCACACTCGCACTACCAGACAGTGCAGCGTTTTTTCGGGTTGGGGTTCATATCGGTGCCCGGTTTGCAGCTAAAGCTCTGGGAAAACTCTTTGAAATTGCTCAGGGCCACGTTCACTCTATTGGGAGTAGACCGTAGTAAATAAATTAATAAATGAACATTTTGTTTCGTGATAAGAGTAAAATTATAATCTAGATTATGCACGTACCGGGCCTGCGATGGGCTATGGGTGTCGGTATCCAATCGGGTTTTGAACATTTCCGGCGACGATTTGCTGCACCAATTCTGGTAATAATTAAAAAATTTGAATTAATTACCCACACGTTTAACATTAATGAGCAGAATTATCCGGACTAAACATAACGTTCAATAGAAATAAGACTAACCATTGCGGCGCTGATCCAAAACAGTTGTCGAGGCGTGTATTTAAGGCCAGGTAGCTGTAGCTCGTGGCCAAACTTATCAGTGTACTTTTCATAGGCATTGTAAGCCTCCTTAAGCGCCCCGTTGTCGGCGATATTTTCTTTGAGGGTCAAATCGCCGTTAATTTTCAGCCCGTTTGTCAAAGTGAAACCGCTATACTGTTTCACCATGCACTGTGCCTTTGAATTGTAATGCAGCCTGGTTTCGTTTTTCCACCAATTTCTGGCGTTACCTAGTTTAATTTATTTTAAAATTAATATTGCTGTGATATACATAATGTATATAAATAATTATTATCATGCTTACCGATTTCATCGAATTGGGCGCCAATGTTATCTATCCAGGTGATATTAAAAATAATATAAAAATTAGTGTTTTATAATAATCATGAAGGTATTAAATTAATTAAAATAATAATTAAAAATGTAGTCAACTACACATGGTATTTACCGAACGCGTGAGTGATTTCGTGGCCAATAATATAGCCAATTGTGCCAAAGTTCATATACTGTGGCCGATCGTTGTCAAAAAACACGTCCCGTAGTATACCGGCCGGTATGACAATGGCGTTGGCCTGAGACCAGTAAAACGCGTTCACGTTGGCCGAGTTGGCAAAATTGCGCCAGCTAGATCATTTAATCAACAACAAAAAATTAGTAACTTTTACAATAAACAATTAACTAGTACAATTATTTTTTTGTAATAATACTCACTCTTGGGGGTCGTTTACTTCGCGTAGTTTTTCAAACTCTCGTCTTTGAGCCCAATTCCGGAGCCGTCGTATATTAAGGTCAAAATTATTGTCCGTCAGATTTAACTATAAAACAAAGCACACGGTAACTTTTACAATGTTTTACTTTCAACAGTGTATTTAATAGGCAAAAATAAATAAGTTACCGTCTTATAATGCCCGTTGACCAGCGTATCGTTGGCCAATTGATGTGGGTAACCCACTACGGCCTTCATCATCTGGCTCTTTCTGAACGCATTCAGCTTAGTCTCGCTGTCCATCCAATCATTTTTATGTAGTATGTCGTCAAACTCGGCTCTCAGATTGGTTACCATTTCACTCGCCTTTCAAACATGATAAAAATATTTCATTATTTTAAGCATCATTAAATATAACTAATTAATATTCTACAACAATTGTTACAATTAACAACTAATACTGATTCCCGGGCCATACCTTTCCCTTTAGTGTACTATTAAAATAGTGTTTAATATACAGGGAGGAGAGTGCCATTGATAAGCTCCCGGTGAGTTGGGACAGGCACGTTTTCCACCTGGCTATTTTCTCGGTGATACCGTACAAGTGTCGGTGCAAATTGTCCCGCATGTCTCTCATCTCTTTGCTACCGGTGCTCAGGGCCTGGAGGGCCAGTCGCCACATCATATAGTTGGCCAGTAATCTAATTGAGTTAATAAATTAATAGATTTTAGTGGTGTATAAATGGTGTCGTTGTTATACCGTTTATCATGCTGATTGTACACGCTGATCAGGTGATCAATGTAGCCCATGTAGTTCAAATTGTCTACCATGACCAGTTCCCTGGCGGTGATGTTGTCGGGCAACTGTACGATAGCGTTGGCCAAACGGATCCAGTCGTGGCCCATACGGGTCTGATTACTGGCCAACACTTCCGACTGTTGGGGCCATAGAAATAGCATTAGACTTGTTTTATTTTTATCATGTCAAATTATTTTAAAATTTTAATAATCAAATTAATAATAATTAAAATTAGTTGCAATTAAAAACAAATAATATATGTAAACTAATAACTAATTGAGGTAATTGCTATGAAAATAATCTAATACAATATGTGTACGTTCATGTGCTTATATTGCTCATCACAGTAGTTTGTGCTTAATGAATTATTTATTATAATTATTATAGCGCACAACTCACAGTATTGACCAACATCCATAATGGAAATTGAAATAAACCCTCGGTAAAATTTTCAGTATCGATGTCGGTATCTTTCACAATTACAACACCCTTGTTCATTTAATGTTTAATATATTATTATTACGTTAGTAATATTAAATAAAAATAAATTAAACATTATAAGTTTTCCATGTTTAATTTGAATAATAGGATACCGAATAATAATAGATCCTTAATAGTTAATAACCACCAAAAATTACCTTGATCATATTAAACAAGCGTAATTTAACAATAATAAACAGCTACTTACTTGATTGGCCACATCCGCAAACGCTTTCAGGTGCAAATACCAGGATTGTTTTTTCTCGCCCTGTGCCGGATCATGTGTAGCCTAAAAACATGACAAATTATCATATTAGATATCAAACTACCTTGATCAAATCTCCATCAATCTTACCTGTGCAATTTGGGTCTCCATCTGAATCACATCCCACATCTCCTCTTTAACCCGGGTCTTATTGTCGGCGCCCAACAGCATAGCCGTGTCCACCATTAGCTGATGGTAAACCTGAACGATCGAGTTGTTTGGACCCAGGGTAATAATCTGGCGTCTAAGGCCCAGGGTCGCTTCATCCAGCTATCAGATATAATAATCGCATATTAAACCTAAGTTTAGGTTTATAAGCCGGACAACAGGGTGAGTATACTTACAAACAGCACTTTCTTGGTATTGTTCAACACATCGGCAATCACTTTGAACTGAACAAACATATCGGTCCGGAAGCCCAGGCGCCTGATCTGTCCGCTCACTGCTATCCAATCAAACGTACTGTTGTCCCACTTGTCCCCCACCAACACCGGCCACCCGCCCAACGAGTCCAACGCCTCCCGGAGTGGGTCCGCGCCGTACGACTCTATGGCGGCTATGGATTAAGCAATATTTATTATTTTTAGTAAAATATTGCTTTGTTTTATTGAACATGGTAGAAGAAATGGCATATACATTTAATTATACTAATTTAATTAATTTTTTCAATGCGTTAATTGATTGATTTTAATAAAAGTGATTTAATTAACAGTAGCATTTATGATATTGCTACGTAAACCTTGTACCCTATTATTTAATACACCTAAATTATAAGTAGCTTAAGGTAATGAATGTAATTAATAACGTGACGTAAATTGATTAAACCCCTAATAATCATGGTGTGAGATTAGTAAAAAATAAAACACCTCGAAAAAATCAGTTTTAAACATAAAAATAAATAAATTGTTTATTAATTATAGATGTGTGAAAGTGAAACAGTTTATTGTTATTTTTATGTAATCTATATATACCTGTGTATTTAGATTACATTATATATTACTTTACATATGCATGTTATATAAGGGTATATTTTTAACCAAGAAATCATAATAAAAATATCAATCATCGTAAAAATATAATACATACATAAATTCATGCATGACTTATACATGTTTCTCATCGTAACGATCGCTGGCATCGATTCATTTGACTTCTCCACTAAATCTATGGTACAAAATAAATAGCGATTATTAAATATTGCTGTATATTTGTTTGTTATGTGTATTTATTAAACCTATTTAAATATAAATAAATAATAATTACACCTAGAGACATACAGGCATACACACACAAACACCTATATTAATTTTCCATTAATCACCATCAGCGATATTTTTGTCATTCATTAATTTATATATTTATTATTATAGCGGCCATAAATCAAATACACAGTTAATAATTATCTCATTCCACACCCAATACTAACCCTATGGGCGATACGATACACTTGATTGCATATTTAAATACAGTTAAATGTTAATTTAATTGACAAACTGCGGCGCCAATTATGTGATTAATAGGTATGTCAGGGGCTTATGTGCTTATTAGCTCTCTCTCTCTATTATATAACTTTTTTTTTGCTGTCATATAAT